AAAAAAAAAAAAAGAGTGGGGAATTAAAGGCAACTCGTAAGTACATCACTTGAGGAACAGCAGGTAAAATGGAGTGGTGGCAAATGACACTACCCAAGGGACAGAAGCAACAGATTAGACAGCATATAGAAGTATGATAGCTTAGGGTAACAAAGAATGGCATATTACACAACACTTTTTTGGAAAATTAAAACATACCATATGCACATAAAAACATTCCTCAAAAACAAACGGATATACGTAACATTAAAATATTAGAAAACAGGGCAATGAATGTACAAATGCACTACACACAATTGATGTGTGTATGGATTGTGATAAGAGTTGTATGAGCCCCTAATAAAATGATTAAAAATAAATAAATAAATAAAATATTAGAAAACTAAAATATTAAGGTAGCAGACGGGCACTCGGTCTCTACTCAAGTACACCCTCAACGCAAGAACACTTTGTTCTAATAGCCTGGCATTCTGTGATGCTCACCTTCCCGACACGATGGCTGAAGTCAAAATGGGTGCATAAGCAAATGTGGTAAAGAAAGCTGACATTGCCTGATTATTAAAAGATACAGCACCTGGGGTCTTAAAGGCCTGAAGTGGCCATCTAGCCGGGAAGCAACAAAGCCCACATGGAAGAAGTACACCAACCTACATGATCACGGGGTATCGACGGGATCAGGTAGCAGAAGACCCAAAACAAAGAAATATATCGATGCAAATATCTGAGTGGAGGTCAGAGTGGAGACCCAAAGCCCATCTGTAGACAAATGGACATTCCCTCACATACGGATCACAAGGAAAGAATGAGAGAGAGAGGGTACAGCACAGCACCGATGGAACACACACTTTCCCCCTAGTTCTTTAATGTTCCATCCCCACCGCCAGTATCATCCCAGTTCTACCTTATAATTCTGGGTAGACCAGAGCATGTACACTAGTACAGATAAGAGCTCTCGATATGGAATCCAGGACAGATAAACCCCTGAGGAATAGCAGGGGAGTAGTGATACCAAGAGGGTAGGGGGAAGGTGGGAGGAGGAGGAGAAACGGGGAACCGATTACAATGATTAACCTCTAATTCCCCCAACCCCACCCCTTCCCAGGGGAATGAACAACAGTAATATGGGCGAAGGGAGACAGTGGGCAGTGCAAGACATGAAAATAGCAATAATTTATAATTTATCAGGGGTCCATGAGGGAGAAAGGGTAGGGGAGGTAGGGGAAAAAAAGAGGAGCTGATAACAAGGGCTCAAACAGAAAGAAAATATTTTTAAAATAATGATGGCAATGTATGTACAAATGTGCTTGATACAATCAATGTATGGATTGTTATAAGAGCTATAAGAGCCCCCAATAAAATGATTTATTAAAATAAAATATTAGAAAACTATACTGGCAGGCTGGTAGATGGAGATCCAGAATAGAGATAAAAGGGGGAAATGTGATAAATGAGAAGAGTCTTGCACAAAACAACAACTTTAGAGTGCCATTAAGGGAGAAGTATGATTGTTTAGGTCTGAACCTCAGGTTCTACTATCTAAATAAAAAAGTCCTAAGATATTCCAATAAGAGAGGTAATTCACTCTTGAATGATCCTTCACAAAGATACGCTTACAGAGTTGCAAACATAAATCTGGACCAGTGTTTCCCAAAGTGGGAGATACCATCCTGGAATGCTGGAAGTATCCGGGGAGGCTGAAAGATCAGATACCTATACTTTAACTTGTATAATGTACTAAAGTACAAACTTTTTTAATTGCCAGAGCAGTACTGAATTTTTTCTTTTTTTATTCTGAAAAGGGTATGGTAGGGTAAATAAATTTGGGAACCTATGTTCTATACCCAAACCATGGTATTTTCAATTGCCTCATATCCATGTGAAAGCTGGATGCTGAATGAAGAAAACCACAGACTGGCTGCAATTACATTGTGGTGCTGGAGAAGAATAACGAAAGTACTGTGGACTGTAAAAGGACAAACCCACCAGTCTTAGAAGAAGTAGTGCCAGAGTTCTTTAGAGGCAAGATGGCCAGACTTTGTCTTACGTACTTTAGACATGTTGTCCGGAGAAACCAGTCCCTAGAGGACACCCTGCTTGGTAAAGTGGATAGGCAGGTAAAAAGAGGAAAGCCCTGAAGAAGTGGCTACAACAATGGGGTCAGGCATAGGAACAATTTTGAAGATGGTGTAGGACTGGGCAGTGCTTCATTCTATTGTGCATAAGATTACTATGGGCCCAGAACTGACCTGACGGCACGATCCAACATGTTCTAGGCCAGTGGTTCTCAAGCCGCAACCCTTTAATACACGTCCTCATGTGGTGGTGACGCCCAACCATAATATTATTTTCATTGATACTTTATAACAGTAATTTTGCTACTGTTATGAATTGTAATGTAAATATCTGATGTGCAGGATGTATTTTCATTGTTACAAATTGAACATAATTAAAGCATATTATTAATCACAAAAACAATGTGTAATTATGTATTGTGAAATATTTATTTTTAATGACAAACAAATGAAATTTTGTCTTGAAGCATGACGTATCATGGGTCACATTTTTCACACCGGGTACTTGTATGTGGGCGTATCTGCATGTGGGCGGACCCGCCTGGAGACAGATAGAGTGGTGTCTCAGTTCCTAAGACCATCAAAAATATGTGTTTTCCAAAAAAAAAAAAAAATGTGTTTTCCGATGGTCTTAGGCGATCCCTCTCAAAGAGTCTTTTGCCTCCAAAGGGGTCCCAAAACACAGATTGAGAACCGCTGTTCTAGGCAAACAAAAGTGGAAGTGGGGGGAAAATTAAAGAAATGAACGAATTTGACAGGATTTTGAGTTTTACAGCATTTTGTCAGTAGTCTATCAAGCGTACCGAAGGGAAAAGTTACGCCAACTGTGAATCTATTATCAGTGAAGGCATGGAAGGCAACAGCAAAATGGATTAAGTGCATTTAAAGCAAATGAGCCCATGTGTCCCTCTGTCACCGATAGAATAGTCAGTTGTCTGACTTCACTGATGACCTGGCAGATCTCACTGTCTTGTTTTCTTTTTCTTTTTTTTTAACTTAAACATTTTTTTTCATGACTTAGAAGAAAATCCTTGTTTGTCAATTATTGTTGGTTCCAATTCTTCAAGAGAGTCATATCTACGGTACTTTATAACATTCACAGTATTAACCTTTCTACAAGAAAAATGGGCCAGGGCGTGGTAACAAAGTTTATTTGTGTCCTCTAGATAAAATCTCAGTTATTATTAGGGTGTATATCTCAGAGGTGTTATGTCATTGGAGGTCACCCTCCTGAAGTTGTGTTATATGTTATTTCTGTGTTCCAGTGTATGAAACCCAGAACTGGTGAACCTATAGGGACAGCAAGTAGAATAAGGGTTTCAGGGTAGGGGTGGGGTACAGTGGTTAGGAGGCGGGTGTAAAAGGGAGACCATGTCAAGGAGTCCAGGAAGAAAAAGAATGCTTGAAAACTGACTGTGGTAGAACTGTACGATTCTGCTTGACGTGATTGAACTATGGAATGATATATGTATTAACTCCCAATTAATAATAATTTTTTTAAATATTAGTTAAATATAAAGTTCTCCAGCCAAAGGAAGAGAGGTCTTAAGATAAAAGATTGAAATACCTGAGGTATATTGTGTTTTCCATACTTCCAAAACTTATTGTGTGATAAAAGAAACTTAAATTTCTCCTCCAGAGAATTAATCTCATTATCAGGCAAGAGGCAAAGCATTTTCTTTAGAGCCAATAATGAACAAGTTATAACTCGATAGAATTTAGCTTGTCTTTCTTCTTCTGGAACAGTTCTTGATGGGAGGGGAGGAATGAGAATAAGCCAAATTACATATTTGACACTTCTATTTCTTAAGTTTTATCATTAAATATCTATGATAGTTGCTTTCAAATAGCAAAACAAATACTTTTTTAGGACAATACTTTTATTTCTACCTTCTATTTCACTGCATAGTGTTCCCTCAAAATACAAACATACATAGAGTTTTAACCACATACATTTCTGCTAATACAAGATAAAATGGATAAAAAGTCATTAGTGCATTGCTTTCAGGAGCACATAGCCAGGACATTCTAGAGAAAAAATAGCAAAGTGTTTAGAATCATTTACCCTTTGAGGCCCCAATAATTTTATCAGAACCTATTAATAAACAGAAAATGTTGCTTAGATCTATTCATGGCTCTTCAATGATTTTTCATTAAATCTTAAAAGTAACTGCTATGATTAAAAGGGGTAAATAGAAAAAAAAATTTTTAATGATCTCTTTCTAAAAGAGCCAAACACATATGTGAAGCACCCAGGTAATTCAAGTTAAATAGTAGCACAACTTACAGATAAAAGCCCTGAAAATAGCACCTGCCCATAGCATTTTGTCAAATAATTTCATCTCTTCTTTAAAAATCATATTGAAATTAATTATCTGTTTATGATGAAGAGTGAAATAAGTCCGTAAAGTGGTACGGGGTGGGAGCAGGGGTTAGGATAACTTACTGTGGGTCACTGAGTGTATCAGGTGTTTCTTTTATAAGATGATCATGAAGCACCTGTGAGGAGAGAGATCCCAGAGCATGAAGATTTTATTGAACCATCAATGAACAGATTCAGCATAAATAAGATAAATCTATTTTAAAATCCCAAAACACCTCATCTTACCTAATAGTTTTTACCTTCTTACCAATAAAATAGTTTCAGAATTATTAAGTTACAAAACTAAAATATTTTCACCTGTTCTTCTTCCACTACCAATCCCCTAAGACACACAGTGGGTTAGACATAGGACTGCTAACTATAAGGTTAGCAGTTTAAATCCACCAGCTGTTCCATGAGGAAAAGATGAGGCTGCCTGTTTCCTTAAAGATATGCGAAGGGGTAGTCAAAAAAAAAAAACCAGAATTGAATTATGTTGAGCAGAGCTTTCATAGTACGCATTTTTCCCTCTAGGAAAGCATCAAGCAGCTTGCTATCAGTAAGTGCACCCAGTGGCGTCCCCTGGGAAGTTTCTCTCTGGTCACGGTGAATTTTTCATTAAAACCATTTCACTCAAGAGAACAGTGTGCAGCTGTGAAATTTTGCTTCCTGCTGGGGGGTTGGGGGGATGGGTAATGCTGCAGAAACTTGTGGCGTTGACCACAGCTTACAGGGACAGCGCTGTGGGAAAAACTCGAGTGTATGAGTGTGGGATACAAAAACATTTTTCCCCAGGTTGTCTTCTGCTTGCTAGCTCATTGTGTAGTCAGCTGCTTAGTTTTCTCCCTGAAGGCACCAGCCATCCAGAGTAATCAGACTATTGTCTGTCCCACATAGGTGGGGCTCACATCCTACTAATAAGGATAGTGATTGTTTCCCTGGAGATCCCAGAGACAAAGTAGAACCCACTCAAGGATGACCAAGGTCAGGCTGCCACCTTGAGTCTAGGGTTCGCCCATCTTGTCACATGTGTACCCCCTAGTCCCTCCCCTTCCTATTATGTGTACACCCCTAGCTCATCCCCTTCCTGTGACGCATATGCCTATTGTACAGCCTCTTCCTGTGACATATGTGGTTACCTGTAATCAGGGAGGCTCGCACGCCCCTAAGTATATAAAGGCCTTGGTCAGAAATAAAGGGGGTCTCTCCTCCCCATTCTCTCTGCGTGGACCTGGCTGCTGAGATCATAACCGTCCTGGAGGTGAGCATGCTACCATAAAATGTGTCTGACTCCTTTATTTTATCTTCTCTCCTCTCCTATCATCTATGACTTTACTATGATCTTTATATATTATAAGCAGTACAGTTGCGCTTACAGACCCCACATGGTTGTTGTTAGAGGCTGGTTTACTCTAACATAGGAGTGGTTTTCTAGTTTCATATAAGGTGAAATACCCATTAATGACAAACCTCACTCTGGACTACAGACCACTGAAGACAGGGGCAAGTTATCTGAACTCTTGGAGCTCGGTTCAGTGAATTTTAATGGAAGACTTGGGAATTAGAAGGGTCCCTGCAAAATTTGTGCCTCTGGGTCTGACTGACTGAGAAAAAGAGCATCAAGTGGAAACATGCCTTGCTTAGAAAGAACAGCTCTAAAGTGACCCAGACATTTTTCCAAGGTCATTACTGGTGACCCCAAAAACAAACATCAATCAGCCAGTGGAAGACACCATCGTCACCTTGCCAAAAAAAAAAATCTTGTCAAGTGAAATCAAAGATCAAGATGATGCTCATTTGTTTTTTTTTATTTGAGGGGGATAGTGCCTTTGGAGTTCATTCCATTCGGTCATACGGTTAATCAAGCTTTCTATTTAGAAGATTTGAAAAGATGCGTAACAGTGTGAGACAAAAGAGGCCTGATTTGTAGCAGATGGGGACTGGTTTTGCCACCATGGCAATGCACCTGATCACCAACCATCTCAGTGCGCCACTTTTTGGCAAAAAAAACCCAGCATGCCTCTCTTGCCCCATGCACCAACTCACCAGACCTCACTCCATGTGACTTCTTTTTGTTTGCTCAAATGCAGAGGGACATGAAAGGACAGCAATTTGACATTGTAGAAGAGGTGAAGAAAAAAACGAGAGAAGTGCTGTCAGCCATCCAAACAGATGAGTTTAGAAAATGTTTCCAAGAATGGAATCACAGATTTGACAAATGTATTCCATGTAATGGAAAGTACTTTGAAGGTGATAAGGTTGTTTGGTAAAAAAAAAAAATTTTAATATATAGCTTTGGGGAAAAAAATCTGTTTTTTTGAGGTACCCCCTTGTACAGTCTCAGAAAATCTATGGTAGAGTTCTACTCCATTCTACAGAGTGGCTATGAGTTGCAACTGAGGTGAAAGAAATGAGTTTGGGTTGGTTTTTAAAGTCAATACCCAGGGTTGACTGCTGTTGGTGTATAGAGGATAGAGTACTCCCACGCCCCACCCCCCGCCCCAATTCCAATATCCATCCAGAAGAATTTTCTCCTAAAAACTCCTGGCAACTTGCTCCCTCATGTCTCTTCCAAGCAAAAAATACCCCATTAGTGACTTGGAGAGAGAAATCAGTTATAATTTTCTTCATTCATCTTGATAGTCTCCCTACCCACGGAAAGCAATATGCACTGTGCTTTCCTCCATCACGGCACAAGGTCAGGCTTTCCAATACGTCTGCTGACTTACCCAGAATTGATCGTACAGTAACAACTATAACTAACATAACATTCACTACACTTTTCTGTATGAATTTCACGCATGAACTAAATTAATTCCAACAACTCTATATGTGGGAAACTAACAGGGAAATATGACCAGGACTATATTCCCTAACTTATAACAGAGGGAATCTGGATAGCTAGTATTCCACGGTAGGAAGGCCACCACTTTGGTAAGTTAAGAGATAAAGTCCAAGTACATTATCCTGCATTAATTATCATTCCCACAGATTCTTCCCTAACAGCTATGCTGCCTTAAAGTGAGCACATGTCTGATTCTGTCTCCCTATAGAAGCAGACATTCTTGTTATCTCCTCCTGCTATGGCACCCCTCTCCCCTCATGTTTTCCCCCAATGAAGGTATTGGGTTTCCTCACCCATAAGCTCAGGGACTTTACTGTGATTACGACCCACCTTATGATGTATCTAACTTCTGAATATGCCTGTTTTATGGCTACCTATAAATGTCCCAAGACAGTAAAAACTCACTCTCTCTTCTCCCACCTCCACGTGGACCACCAAGAGAGGCTAAAGTGAGCACGCTACCATAAAATGTGTCTGACTCCTTTATTTTATCTTCTCTCCTACCTTTCCCATTCTCTATGACTTTACTATAATCATTATATATTATAAGGTGACCAGATTTTAACATTGGTAAAGCGGGACACCATTGATAAAACCCATATCCTGGTGAAATAGCCACATGGCAGCCGGAAACCGTATACCCTAGATTGTCGTGCATTCTTTCCAAAAATCAGGCCTTTTTTAAAACGCCACAGGACACGGGAAAAATTGTTAAATATCGGGACTGTCCCGCCAAAATCAGGATGTCTGGTCACCTTAATGTATTATCGCCGTACAATTGTGCCTACTGACCCTGGTGGTTGTAAGAGGCTGGTTTACTCTGACATCTATAAAGTTCAACTTCCATTTTATAGACGAGGAAATAGAGGCACGAGAAGTTTAAGCAATTTTCCCATGTCACACACCTAATTAATGGCATTATGAGACTGGAACCCAAGAGTATAACCCAAAGTATATGTTCTTATAGACTGTATGGTATGTCTTCAGCTTTGACATTTTGATCTCCATCTGCCTGGCTCCTTGCTATTTAGTTTTGAACATGGAAAAGTTTGAACCCAATAGTTGTAATGAGCTGTGAAATAACCAACTAAAGAGAAAATACGTAACCCACATGATCAGTCATCCATCTATAACAAAGTCAAGAACAGAAGAGGAAACGAAACCAAAAGATCTGTGAACAGTCAAATTAGTTGTCTCAAACTCTATTTTCCAAAACTCTTAAGTGACTAAATCTCAAGACTTCACTCTCATAACATTATCATTTGTTATTTTTAAATAAACCAATTAATCCGAATTTGTGGAAAGCTTAGGAAACTCCCTTTAAGAATAAACCTACTACTCCCTTACCAACTGTCTCATTATTAGGCATTTTGCATTTATGACAATAGTAGAAAAATCTACTACCCAACTCTTTTGTGCATTCACAATGTACACCTGCAAAAACATGTACATTGCAAGGCAACAGTAATGCTGAGTGTGATGGCTACAGCCATGTGTCATTTTGCTGGTTCATGGCTGGTTAAGTAACATTTGGCATTTATGTAATGATATAATTTGGAATTACATTATGATGTAGTCATCCTCCATTTTTTATTAATGACTTGCTCTTAGGGAGCTAACCATGTTGCAAAGTGAGGAGTGCACATATGGTTAAAGTTACCCTCTCCCCAGGGTGGGGGAAAAAAACAAGCTTGACATACCTGAGTGAAGAATGGACGAAAGAAGAATCTAAATGGAGAACTAGAAAGTACAAAGATGGATGAAGGTGAGGGGGTAGGAAAGTGCTGGAAGAGATGAGATAGGTGAGTATAGAGACCAAGATAAGGAATCTGGATTTGTAAATGTAGTGGGAAATCAAAAGAGGGCTGACTAATGGAAGGAGGAAGGGAAACGGGAGGAGAGCACATAGGATGATTCACAGGGTGCTATGGAAGACTATGGAGACTATCAAATCAGAGAAATGCACGCATAATTTTTTTAAAAGAATCTCAATTCCTCCCTTAATTATAGTCTACCTACTTTTATTTCTTGATATGATTCTAAAAACCTTGGTTTTTCCCATTCATATATTGGTAGAAAAGAATGAGGGGAAAAAAATGAGCAAGGACACTGTTCGCTACAGACACACTGAGAGCAACAAAAACTTAAAGACAATATCCACCCAGCAAAACAAGTGTGGAATAACTTTCAATACGCTTCATAAGACTATAAATTTACAGGACCTTCTTGAAGGAAAACTTGCCAATTTTTAAATGTTTCTTATCCTCTGACGCAACAATATCTACTTATAATAATTATTGCTCTCTCACAAGGATATGAGAGGAAAATTCAAGAATGTTCACAGAAGCAATGTATATTATAGTGAAAGTTAGGGATAAAATAATAGGTATATTTTACTGTAAAAGGTGTAAAATACAATATACCCAACCAAAGCAAACAAAGAGAATGAAGTAGATCTGCATGTGTATGCCAACATGGAGTAAGAGAATATTAATTTACATTTATTTGAAACGCATGTTTGGATACAGATTATAAAGTGCATACCTATGTTTTTGGGGTAACATGATAAATGAAGCTTTATAAATTAAAGATGGAAATTTCAGAAAAGAAGATTCAGTTCAATGTATTAATTTTGCAGAGAACCCTAAATAATTAACTTGGTTAAATACCATTTTTAAAGGGTAACCTTTCATTATTAAAAGTAATTCACTTACTCATTCACCCATAATGCCAAGTAAAAGAGCTGTCATTATAATATACTATATCACTTATACACTTAAGAAAGAAGGGAGCAAGTAGAGACTGCTTCCAAGAACTTACACTGGCAATTTCATCCTTACAAAATGCTATAGCTTCAGGTTGTTTGCTTGGAGGAAAAGCTGCTTCAAATGCATCTTTAGCTGCACATGCAGCTGGTGTATAGGTATCACACTGAGCCATTAGCCAATATCCCATTAAACTTTTTAAATAGGGAGCCAAGTGTTTCTTTACTTTAAGAATGAGTTTCTCAAAAGCTTGCTGTGTGGCTTCTCGAACCCGGCGGTCATGATCCTGTTGAAAATATAAAGGTGATTTTTAAATAACACTAGCCCATAAAAACAAACAAAAGCATTTCTAGATATGCTATAATGACCCATTACTAAGAATTCAGCTAGAAACAGAGCTAAACTGAATTCAGTGTTTGAAAACATCAAAAAATTGTTTGTTTAATCAGAAGTTACATCAGTTGATTATATGAGTACAAGTTAAAAAGCATGCTACAAACGCACTGAAACCTTATTAAACAAAGCGTGAAGTTTATGTTGTTCACTGTGTCCTTCCACCATGGGCTACATACTTCTGAAGGTAGGATTTCCACCTCGGGAATCCTGCGCTCTTCAATTTACACCACATCAAAATGACAGTTTTGGCATCTCTGAGGGACTCAAAACACATTTCTTTTAAATGTTCCTTGATTTGGAGGAAATGAAAAGAAGTCCGCAGGGGCAAGAGACAGGCTGTAGGGTGAATGGGGATAAGATGCCAAGATGAAATTCTCTTAGACAGTCCTGCTTTCTTTGAAGAATGAGCAGATACATTGTTGTGATGAAAAAAAATTTTCTTGGCCTTTTCCTCACCAATGCAGTTTGTAACATCTATAACACTGCACAATAAGCCCCCATGATCTCAAAAACCCCGTACATCCCTCAAGAAAGCCTATCAAAAGATTACCCGTTAGGAATTCCAAGAAACAGACACCATGACCTGACTGAATGTATGGTACTAGCAAATTCCGGTGGAAGCCACTGGTTTTTTTGTTTTGGTTTGGTTTTTTTTTAAATCGTTTTATTAGGGGCTCATACAACTCTTATTACAAGCCATACATACATCAATTATGTAAAGCACATTTGCACATTCATCGCCCTCATCATTCTCAAAACATTGGCTCTCCACCTAAGCCCCTGGCATCAGCTCATTTTTCCCCTCCCTCCC